CATTCGATTAAAAATTTTATTTTTATAGATTAAGTATGTCAAATTTTGGAATAATCTAATAGGTTCAACTAGTTTGTTGTTTATACAAAATTTAATATTATTAAATACATATCAATAGGGACATTGATTGGTATATTTTTTTTTGTTCAATGCATCATATTACATGCTCATTAAGAAATATTATTTGATAGCATTAAATTAAAATCAAACAAACTTTAAAATGTGGCTATGCATACAAATGCACAAAGTCGACAAAATCAAATATACTAATATTATATTTTACTGGTTCAATTTGATAGGTGTTGAAAGATATGTTGAACAAGTAGATGTACCAATTATTTTTGTATTAGTAAATAGAATTTCTTTATTCAAATGGTTATAAATGTTAAATTAATATGAAAATTAACATTAATAATTTAAATAAATAAAATTTTTAATCTGATCGTTAATTTTTTAAAATAATAAAATATAAATGTTTAGATAAGTCCTCCATAAAAAATTTAAGTAAACAACTCGCACAATACTAACACCTTAAAATTTTAACATAATTTATGTTTTAACCCTATCTCTGCGGCTAATTTGATGGTTTGATGGTAAGTGCACATGTGTAATTCTTTTGGGCTCTACGTACACTACAACAAACTTTGCTTTCAACGACCAAATATTAGGAATCCCGTCGTTAATAATGGTAAAAAAACCAACAAATAATGAAGGAACTTTTATACCGTCGTTGTATGGTTTACAAAAATTAATTTTAATAACCACGTCAATATACCATCGTTGTTTGTGTCCATCTCCTTAATTTTAGCCACCGATTTTTAAATACCTTCATTGATTGGAAATTTTTGACTAAACTTTTTGGCGCTCGGGAAGGGAAAATAAAATGAAATAAGCAATTTCCTTTTTTGCCCCTTTTTCTTCTTTGGTTATGTACCTGTGCTAGGGTCATTTTAAAGAACCAAATTATTTTCATCTTCTTTCTAGCCTCTCATCCAGATCTGTATCTCAAAGTGTACTCTTCCTCTCGTCTCTTTAGCGACTTAGAATTCTTTCTCTTAAAACCCTTTTGCAAAGAAGCTATAGATCTTGGTTTCTTTTTCATCTTCACCGTTTTGGATCTAGGGTTAGAAGTTCCAACGATTCCTATTTTCCTCTTCCTCCCTCTTTCCTTCATCTCTATCCCATCTTCCCCTTCTCTGCGCACCAACACCTGATCCAGCCACATAACCAGCTCTACCAACGCCTGTTCTCATCGGTACCAATGTTCGGTCGCCGCCGCTCGCATCTGTTTCTTGTTGATATCCAGCTGTTTGTTCTTGATTCCGGTGGCATTCAGTCCGGGTCTGTTGTTAGCTGCTCGAGAACAAGGCTCCGGTCATTTCTGCTCGACCTCTGCAACTCCGATCTCCCTCTCTCTTTCGGCAATCATTCTGAAAACTCAGAATTGCATCTCTTAGGTCTCTTATCATTTTTGCAGTGAACTCGAATTTATTTTCAGTTACCTTTAGTTTTTTTCGTTCGAATTTTTCTGCTGAGTCCGAATTGAAACGTTTAGGAGATTGTGTGGGTAGGTCGAGCCAACCGAAGTTTTCTTCACTGGGCTTCCCCTTTCTCACTGTTTGCGGAGAAACGAGGCTAAATGTGTTATCTGTTTGATCTAATGTTGGATTTTGTGATTTGTGCTGCTTCCAGTTGTTTAGCGAAAATTTAATAAAATCGGAAAAGAGTTTCTTGGTCTGCACTGTGTTCAATTTCCGTTCATAATCTATAATTATTTTATTTTATTTTGTGTTTTTGTTGTTTCTTGTTGTGTTTTTAGGGATTGCAAGTAGTTTACAATTTTTCATTTCATTTTCTTTTATTCAATGCAGTTCACGATAATGTCCAAGTCTTGTAAGGGTCTTGCCATGGAGCTTCTCAAGTGCCTCAATGAATCTGATTGTGTCAAGGTCTACTGTCCTTCTCTGTTTAGCCTTTCTAATTTCCTTGGTTATTTTCTTTTGTTTGATTTTATTGGTTTGTTGGCAGGTTCAGAAGCGATCCTACAGGGAATGTGCTAAAGAGAAAAGCCCCTTAATATCCAGCGAGTGTGTGGGACTCAGGGAGACTTATTCCAACTGCAAGAGAGAGCAGGCACGTTTTCATTCATTCTCTCTTCTTTTTATCTTTTCCTTTGTGTGTTTCTTGTATTCATCGGCCATTTATTTGTTTGAATTTTTTTTGTTTGATTTTGTTATCGCAAAATTGGTAGTCGCAATTGCTTGCTTTCTAATTTTCTCACTTTAAAAACAAGCTTGAATTGTATGTATACCATTAGCTAATCATTTAAATCAAATTAATGAGTGATACTAGCACTATTTGCTTTTCTTTTTTGTAGCACTTGTGTATGAAGCAAGCATGAAAACTAAGGGAAAGCCAGATACTTCTGACAATGCTATTGAAAATGCTGGCTTTGAGATTTAGGACTCATGGAATCAAATGATGTTTAATTTCCTTCTCTCTTGACTTGCAGGTGGTAACTGGTATTTTTTTCTTTGTTTCAGGGTATATTATATGCAAATCTTTTTTTATAGTATTTTAACTCAATTTTCGATTATCATTAAAAATTATCAATTTTTAATCAATTTCAACAAATGTCCCATAGCCTGCAGAGTGAGGTGGAGATTGCTAGTGACTAGAAACAAAAGAAAAGTAGGAATATTGTGCACTATATGGAAATTGGTCTTTAATGCCTTTGACTTCTATTATGCACTATCTTTACTTTGGCATAACTTCTATTCTAGCAATAAAAAGCACACAACTAAACTTTGGACATGTCATAATTTAGAGAAGTGGTGCCAGGTCATAGATCAGCTTCTTGGTAGTGAAGGTTAGTTGTTTCGCTAGTTGAACATATATTTTCCTCCATTATTTTAGTTATGAATCATACATCTCATTTCATATTATTAATTTTTTTTTTACCATTAGAGTGAACCAGAATTTGTTGCCTAGTGGAATATGAATGTGTATACTTGCTCATGCAAGCATATTTTAACTGAAGGTAGTCTCTTGTGAATGATCCATAATTTCTGACATTTGCTATCATGCGTCATAATTTTTCAAATAACCAGGTAAAGGCCTTAGCAATCAAATTGACTCAAAAGGAAGGAGAGTTGATTTAAGACAAGTTTGGAGTGAAAAAACTAGCTACAAGGCAAATTTATTCCAGTTCTTAGAGCTAAGTAGTGTTATTTTTATGTTTCATAATCTTTTGTTTCCAAATGTCTTTAATTCTATTTGCTTTGTGAGTTTATGCTAATAGTTATTGAAAATTTTGCCATTTGACATTTATGTGTGGTTTGTTTTCTTTCCTTAACTCTGTGCTGTTTGGCCCTGCATCTTGTTAGTTTAATTTTTTATTTTGAAGATTGTCTAAGTACTTTGTTCCATGTTTTATGTTAACTTTTGCAGGAGGTTGAGGGGCTAATAGGAGGGTCATCTGGGGGCCAGAAAAACTAAATTTTATTACATTAGAGTATCAGACAAGTAAGGTGAATAATCATAATTTACCAAGTTTTGCATTGTTTGAGTTTTTTCAAGTATTAATAGCAGTTTTGCATTTTTCATTTCCAAGTGGAAGAAATTTTAAGGGCATCAATTTGCATTTGGATTAATGACTATGACTCTCTTTTGGTACTTTTTGCTCAAAGACAGAATTTTGTATCACACTCATTATTACTTTGGGAGAGACTCTTGGATATAAGATTAAACATCTTTGAAAGTTTTAATATATGTTAGTATGAGAAATTATGGTTTGTATTGTTATTATATTATTTTTCCCTAATCAAGATATTGTAATTTGATTTCTTTTTTTGGCAATTTGACATTTCTATTTGTGATATTATCATTAAACTAGTGACCACCAGCAGCTAAATAATCTCAGTGAATTATTTTGTTAATATAATAATGACTTTCAACGACAGGCAATCTCTGTTGTTAGAAACAATCGATGGGTGGTTACTTTTTTTTAATTTAAAAATTCTCTGATATTTAACGACGGGATTACCTTCACTAAAAATTGATTTTGTGGACAAGGACATGAAATTTTAATGACGGGATGGTATGGAGCTTTAATAACGGGCAAAATGCTCCCGTTGTTGAAAACTTTTAACCACCAAGCATACAACGACGGGCCACGACGGGACAGCCGGTCGTTATTTCTATTTTAACGACAGGAATTATTGCTATTAATGACGGTATGTACTCTCGTTAAAGAGCAGTTTTCTTGTTGTGTGTGCTAGGGTCATTTTAAAGAACCAAATTATTCTCATCTTTTTTCCACTCCCTCATCTTCGTTGTGTCTGAAAAAGTGTACTGTTCCTCTCGTCTCTTCAGCAACCTAGAATTCTTCTCTTAAAACCCTTTTACAAAGAAGCTGTAGATCTTGGCTTCTTTTTCATCTTCACCATTTTGGATCTAGGGTTATAAGTTCTAACGATTCCTATTTTCCTCTTCCTCCCTCTTTCCTTCATCTCTATCGCATCCTCCCCTTCTCTGCTTAGTGCTCACCAACACCTGATCCAGCCACATAATCACCTCCATCAACGCCTGTTGTCACTAGTACCCCGCCAATGATTCCTTTTTCCTCTTCCTCCCTGTCCTCTCTATCCTCCAGCACTCAACCGTGTATGTAACCACCACCATGAGCGCGCGATGTCGCTGGTAACCTGCAATCGCTGTGATCACCTCCCTCACCAAAGCCTCTATTTTCTCATGCGGCTCAAGCATTTCCCGTTGATTTCCCTTTATCTGAAATTTCCCTTTTTGCGGCCTTGATTTCCTCATGTGATTTAGATTTATTGGCTTGATTTAGAGGTAATTTTGACTTTTTCTTCAATTTCAAGAATAAATTGCTCATTATATCTTGATTTTGTTAGAGCAGAATCTATCAATTTTGATATACCATATCAAAAAATAATTTCATGCCATTTATTTGTTTAGATTTTTTTTGTTAGATTTTGTTATTGCAAAATTGGTAGTTTCGATTGCTTGCTTTCTGATTTTCTCACTTTAAAAACAAGCTTGAACTATATGTATACCGTCAGCTAATCATTTAAACCAAGTTAATGAGTGATACTAGTACTATAGCGTTTTCTTTTTTGTAGCACTTGTGTATGAGGTAAGTATGAAAACTAAGGAAAAGCCAAGTACTTTTGACAATGCTATTAAAAATGCTGGCTTTGAGATTTAGGACTCACGGAATCAAATGATGTTTAATTTCCTTCTCTCTCGACTTGTAGGTGGTAACTGGTATTTTTTTTCTTTGTTTTGGGGTATATTATATGCAAATCTTTTTTATGGTATTTTAACTCAATTTCCAATTATCATTAAAAATTATCAATTTTTAATTAGTCTCAACAAATGGTCCCATAGCCTGCACGGTGAGGTGGAGATTGCTAGTGACTAGAAACAAAAGAAAAGTAGGAATATTGTGCACCATATGAAAATTGGTCTTTAATTTGTGCCTTTGACTTCCATTATGTGCTATGTCTTTACTTTAGCATAACCTTTATTCTAGCAGTAAAAAGCACACAACTAAACTCTGGACATGTCATAATTTAGAGAAGTGGTGACACGTCTCAGATCAGCTTCTTGGTATTGAAGGTTAGTTGTTTTGCCCGTTGAACATATATTTTCCCCCATTGTTTTTGTTATGAATCATACATCTCATTTCATATTATTAATCTTTTTTCTCCATTAGAGCGAACGAGAATTTGTTGCCTAGTGGAATATGAATGTTCTGGTTTGTGTCTATACTTGCTCATGCAAGTATGTTTTAACTGAAGGTAGCCTCCCATGGATGATCCATAATTTCTTACATTTGCTATCATGCGTCATAATTTTTTAAATAGCTAGGTAAATGTCTTAGCAATCAAATTGACTCAGAAGGAAGGGGAGTTGATTTAAGAAAAGTTTGGAGTGAAAAAACTAGCTACAAGGCAAATTTATTCCAGTTCTTACAGTTAAGTAGTGTTATTTTTGTATTTCATAATCTCTTTGTTTCCAAATATGTCCTTAATTCTATTTTCTTTGTGAGTTTAAACTAATAGTTATTGAAATTTTGCCATTTGAGATTTATATGTGGTTTGTTTTGTTCCCACTCTGTTTGCTGTTTGCTGTTTGGCCCTGCATCTTGTTAGTTTAATTTTTTTGTTTTGAAGATTGTCTAAGTACATTGTTCCATGTTTGCTGTTAACTTTGGAGGTTGAGGGGCTAATAGGGGAGGCTCATCTAGAGGCTAGGAAAACTAAATTTTATTGCATTGGAGTATTAGACAAGCAAGGCAAATTATCATAATTTACTAAGTTTTGCATTGTTAGTTTTTTCAAGTATTAATAGCAGTTTTGCATTTTTCATTTCCAGATGGAAGAAATTTTAAGGGCATCAATTTGCATTTGGGTTTATGACTGGTTCTTTTGGTACTTTTTGTTCAAAGACAGAATTTGTATCATACTCATTATTGCTTTGGGAGACTCTTGGATATAAAAGATTAAACATTTTTGAATGTTTTAATATATATTAGTATGAGAAATTATGGTTTGTATTGTTACTGTATTATTTTTTCCTAATCAAGATATTGTAATTTGATTTATCTTTTCAGCAATTTGACTTTTCCAAATGTGATACTATCGTTAAACCTATAACCATCAACAGCTAAATAATCTCAAGGGCAATGATTG